TCTTAGCAATGTACTTAGTTCTGGAACGCTTGCTATCAAATGGAAGAAGAGAAACTTTTAGAAAGCAGGATCCTTTCCAGTAGTTTACGTGTGAAATAAATTGTGCTTCCTCACATCTGTACTAAGAAAGCAAAGGAGATATTTTGAGAAGTCACTAAAGTAAAAATGCGTCTGTCATATAGATTGTAAAGAACACATAAAGATAGAAGAAATCCTGTAACTATCTTCTAGAAAGCTCAGCAAATGGACACATGAATTATCTGTGTGTTTACTATTCTGCAGTGAGAAGCTTCTTTAAGGTCTGTGCAAGTCTCTTCACCTTAAAAAGGTGGATCACTAGTTCCCTGACACCTCAATGATAAACTAAAAATATAACTCAATATCGATGCCTTGCAAACTCCAATTGCTCTAATGATGTAAGGTCAAGGCAAAAAGAAGAAAGATATCTGGATTATTGAATCTAGCAGTAAATTTTATTGGAGTTTTCTAATTATACACAGGGAAAAATTAACGAAAACAAAGTATACTTAATAGATCATAGAAGCAATAGTCTAAGAAAAAGCGTAATTCTTGGGAAATATAATAAAGGCAATGTAACATTTCCCAAGCAAATTTTTTTTGAAATCTATCCTCAAATAATTTGAGTGGAATCAGTCAAATTTTGTTTTTATAGAAAAAGTATCTGTCTAAGGTACTTGAGTTAAGGATTCCTTAGGCATCACACTCAGGAATTCAGTCTCATGGCTCAAGTACCAGGTCAAGCTCCACAAACTCAAGGTCATCTCTGTCCAGTTTCTGAGGATAACATAGAGGAGAGTACAAACCAGCCTTCTCAAAGACTGTGACAGTGTCTACTCCTTCAAATCATTCCCAAACTTGCCCTCTACCCATAACATCCATCACGTATCCTATTACAAGCCTATATTTTCTGAAACATAAAATGCCTACCCATATACATCAAGGCTATATTTATTGATAAGGCCAGAGCCTCATTATAGAAGTTACTTTGGATTATATCTTTAATTTTTGGTTGTATATTTTTAATCAAAGAAATCTGAATCAAAACAACACTTGATCTTGTAGTGCACTGTTGGTGGTCATTAAATGACTGATGCTATCTTATTTTTATGGAATTTTTTAAAAGAAAACTTGAACTATGTCTCATGAAAGCTGGGATGAGATTTTGTCTAATTTTTGATGAATAAAATTTATTTCAATGCCTAGATACACAATCTTGTAACATATTAATATTATCTTCTTTTAAAAATAATCTTCAGAGCAACCCATGGGGCAGGCTGTTAGTCTTGAGAAATTTGGGAACTAATGATTATTAAAAGTTGCTTACAGGGATAAAATGTGACCCTAGGGGATATTTATTTTTTATGTCATTAAAATCTATTCTTCTTCAAAACCAATAACAGTGATCATTCAAAAGAAAAACATGAATTAACTTTATATTAAACTTTTGCCCAAAAGATACCGCAGACCAGATTTTATTGGGACTTTCATATGTTTTTTTTTCTCAACATATAGTGGATTGCCAAGAGCATTAATAATGCAAATCTGTGTTTGAACACAAATGACTCCCTACAAGGCCTGTTTTGATTATTAATGGAATTAATTATCTCTCTGCTCCATGCAGTTACTGTGGTTTGGAATAATAGTTAATGAAAGAGCAAGGCAAATTTTAAAAATAGCATCTTTAATAATATACATTCTATCACACAAAGAATCAGTGAGCAAATATTGTGGAGACAATGCCTTCTCCCTTTTTACTCATCATTAAGAAACTCCTCTCCAATAGGAGTATATCTTATTGTCATTTTCCAAACACAGAAAAATAGACTGGGATGTTCAGAAGAGCCACCCATTCTGCCAAACTAGAAACTCAAAATCTATCATGTTGCCCAAGTTATTTTCAATCAACCAACTGGGAAGTTATGCTAGCAGTGGAATTGTGAGGCCAGCCCCTTCCCAAAGACCTCAGAATTGCTTTGAAGTATAGAACATTCTGCTTTCTTTCAGAGTTTCAGAAGCTACAGGTCTTTACAGAAAGAATACTACACAACCCAGTGGTTTTATTATGGAAATACGCTTTAGATGTGATAATTTGATGAATGTAGACTAAAGCAAAGAAGGCCTAGTTTATGCATAAACTGTATTCTTCGATTATCTATATATACCTTCAATCTGTCTACATATATATATATTTATTTATCATATATATATATGATTGATAATCTCTGTCTCCAGGCATGGAGGAGATTGGCACTCCTAGATGGGAGACCACTTCACTGCACTTTTATAAAAGACTTTTGGACACTAATGATGTGCTGTCATCATTGATTTGACCATTTTCCATTTACCCTGAACTGTAACATGCCATTGAAGAGACCATTGGTAACAGTTTCTAAGATTGTAATAGTTAACCATGTTTCTGTAACACTGATATTGCTTTAACAATTCTTGTTCACAGTAGCACTATAATTAGTATAATTATTTACCTAAGACGTACTTATTATGGTACATACTTTCAGTAACAAAAGATTCCTGGAAATATACTCTTCAATATTTTAGATTATTTAAGCTCTCTTACTATCTGTAGTATAACGTTACATCATAGTACCAGAAAAAAATGCACATATATTGGTATGTTTCTAGGAAAAATCTCTATTTCAAGTGGTAAATTTGGTGAAGGCCCAGTATCTCCATTCTAAAACCCACTGTCTTTGGATACTTTCAACTAGCAGAGTTACTTTCAAAAAAAAAAAAAAAGTCTGGAATTTTCTGACTTTACAGTCTAAATGGCAGAGCAGTGATACCGGCAAAATTTGATTCTATCTTGGTTTCCTCTTTAGTGCACTTTCTCCAGGAAAGTGTTATTACAGAGATTACTAAGGTTTAGATGGCAAGAGGGAATTATAATCAGATATTCCAGTTCATACCCCAATTTAAGTCAGTTTATGTTTGTTTGCTTGCTTTTAAAGGGAATGCTCAGAAAATTCTTATTTTCAGTTTAGTTTACACAGAGGATTTTTTCCATTAATTTCAAAATCTTTCCTACCTAGAAATGAAATGATGAAATGCTCACAGATAATGTGTCTCAGTGTAATGGTCAGAGTTAAATAGATCAGTTAGAGATAAAAAGATCAGAGGAGCCTGGGTGGCTCAGTTGGTTAAGCGTCTGCCTTCTGCTCAGGTCATGATCCTGGAGTCCCAGGATTGAACCTTGATTCAGGCTCCCTGCTCAGTGGAGTCTGCTTCTCCTTCTGACCCTCCCCCCTTCTCGTGTGCATGCTCTCTCTCTCAAATAAATAAGATCAAAAGAACAAGAAGAAAATCAAAACTGTATCATTCTGATAACTGTGATGATGTTTTTACTACATGAAAGATTAGGCTATTTCTGATTATAACAATACCACTGGGTACATAGGAGCGAACTTATTCCATGTATCCTCTTTTTCTAGTACTTGGTGCCATTTAAAAAATGTATTTGAAAGTTACTTATTTCTCTAAACATGTATCCTAAACCTTAAAAGTTGCAAAATACTCCTGATTATGACAAAGATACTTCTAGGAATTCACTAGGAATCTGTTTATAATTCTTTCTTATAAAAAAAAAAAACATGAAGAATGCAGCAGGCAAGTGAAGTCATATATGTTGTATGAATTTTAGACTTTATATACTCAAAGCTGGAGAGAAATTCAACCTGTTTTACTATTTAAGACATATACAATTTATCACAAATCTTAATTTCATTGTCCTCTACAACTTGACATGGTTAGCAGTTTTGATGCACAGTTTGCAGACACTAGTGTAGTTTAAGAAAGGAAAAACAAGCTGAAAGGCCTGGGTTTATTTGGGTTTTGTTAGGCTCTTATGCTGCACAAGATGGGCCTAGTGTGGAGTTAGCAGCACACAATCAGTTTTGCTATAATCATAAAATAAAAAGAGAGGCAGCAAGATAGAGAAAGGGAGTCTGGGGTGAAGGGCAGGCAGGCACAGGCTGCAAAAAAAGATTTTAAGAAAGTTAACTTTACAAATGTTTTTTCAACAAACTGTGATTTCTCTTCATGTATTTTTAAAGCCTACCTAGTTTTTTTTCTAATTTTTAATAAAATTTACCCTTCCAATTATTTCCAAGTGTATGGTACAAGATCATCAACCATACGCATGTTGTTGTGCAACAGACTCCCAGACCACTGCCCTGATCCTGCACAACTGAAAATATACCCAGTGATCAACTCCGTATCTCCACCCTACCCCTCTTCCAGCCCCTCATAGCCACCATTCTACTTCCTGGTCTATGTGTGTGACTCTTTATATACCTCATTCAAGGAGAGTCAAGCAAAATTTGTCTTTTGGGGACTGACTCATTTCACTTAGCATTATGTCCTCAGGGTTCATCCATGCTGTGGAATGACAGTATTTCCTTCTTTTCTTAAAGCTGAATAATATTCCACTGTATTTATATACCACATTTTCCTTCTCTGTTCATCCTTCTGTAGACATTTAGGTGGCTTTCACCTCTGGGCTATTGTGAACAACTCTTTTCATGTAATTCTGAATTCATTTGGAAATTGCAAATTGTTCTATCTCCAATTTGTCTTACATTGTTACCTTGCTTTCCTTTTTTTTTAAAAGAGATTTTTATTTATTCACAAGAGACACAGAAAGAGAGGCAGAGACATAGGCCGAGAGAGAAGAAGACTCCCTGTGGGGAGCCTGATGCGAGACTCAATCCCAGGACCCCAGGATCACGACTTGAGCTGAAGGCAGATGCTCAACCACTGAGCCATCCAGATGCCCCTCCATTTTTTTTTTTTAGTTTTTGGCCAAGTTGTTGAAAATCTGTATATGTGCTGAGTTAATGATGTTGACCACAGATTTTTTATTTTTCTATATTCAATGCAGACATGTAGATAACAATGAGATAGTCCTGGTCAATGTGAAATAGCACTGTGATCTGACAAGTAATGGAATGCTGTTGTCCTTGCAGGACGAATCTGCTCCAGCTGACAAACAGTGTAAACCAGAGCCAGCCCAGGCCACGTACTCCACCTCAGCTGTTTCAGGCTCCCAGGAGGTGTTGTACATCAACGGAAATGGGACCTACAGTTACCATAGTTACAGAGGGCTAGGCGGGGGCCTGCTCAATCTGAATGATGCTTCCAGTAGTGGTGAGTCTTTACTATTTATTGTGCTTTTTCTGTCCATGTGGGGATAGCAAATTCTCTAAATCTGAGAGGAAGAAATGAATTTACTGTGATAAGCAATAGTACCAATCTGCTAAAAACAAGACAGCTTAATACATAACATTTGTCTCCCTCCAAGGATATTTCCCAATTGTCTTGCTGTTTCCAAAAGTAGCAACACTATTATACAACTGAATACTTGATGTTCTGTACTCAAAAAATCTCAACTAGAGAAATAACAATTTTTTAAACCAAATAGTTATACGTCCTTCCCCCAAAGCTGTAATGCACTATTCGGCAAGAATAATGACCTATTTTCTCAATGTTCAAAGAGGTTTTTAATTTGGAAAATGTGAGGCACCAGGAACTTTATTGACTTTATGAAACACAACTAGTCATATACCTAAGAACATACAAACGGAGACACCACATAAACAACCCGTGCACCCGTGGTTCTCCATGCTCCACCAGCAGTAAAGGGTGTACTGGAGGCAGCTCATACTGGCTCATGCTTGATAAAGTTTTAGGAATTTCTTGAGTCTATGTGCCAAAATGAGTTCCAAATGTGTAATATAAAAGGAATAAAATATATGGATGAATTTCTTATAACTGCATTGTAGGAAAAGTTTTCCTAAAGTATACTTAAAATCCGGGGTGGGGGGGGAGTTCCATTTCATATACAAACACACACATACACAGACTTTTTCATGACAGAAAACATTTTACACAAAGTAAAAAATAAATGACAAACTGGGAAAATTATTAGCTACCTATACTACAAAAGGTTAATAAGCCAATACATGAGGTTCTTCTAAAAAGAAAGAAATACCCCAAAGTATATATAAAAAGAATAAGGCTAGAAAATGAAAACACAATTCCCAAAGAAAGCAATGCAAATGTCTCTTAAATATGGATAAATTTACTTAACCCCACTCACACCTAATAAGAGAAATGCAGATTAGCAAAAATCCAAATATTTACACAATAATCTTTTGACAAGGCTGTGGGGGGAAATGAGGACTCTCATGCATAGTTTGTACAATGCAAAAAGTTGGGGTGGAATTTGGCAGTATTTGGAAATGTTAAATATGCATTTACCATTCAGTCCAGCAATCTCTTTAGGAATCTCTTGTTAGGAATTTATCTCAAAAAGACATATGCACAAAGCTATCCATTGTAGTGTTATTTTTAAAGGCAAGAAAAAGGGATTACCAATGAAAATGTCCAAAATAAAAATATCCCATCAATTGATGGTTAGTTGATTCATTTTGAGTACATCCAAACAAGACAGTAACACGCAGCTATAAAAAGTGATGAAGAATCTCTTTATACCTCCAAATGCTGAAAAGCCCCTATAGTATGCTAATATTCATTAAAGAAGGATTTATATAATTAAAAAAAAGTTTGCATAGAGGCAGGAATGGGGGAGAACAGTATGGAGAAAGAAATACAAGCCAGAATTCTGTGATTATACTTGGTTTTTGTATTTTGTTTTATAAATTTAACTTTGAACAATTTAAATACATAATTATAAATGTAACTGACTTTAAGAATTCCTGATACTAAGGGACACAGAACATAAAGACTCCTAACTCTGGGAAACGAACTAGGGGTGGTGGAAGGGGAGGAGGGCAGGGGGTGGGGGTGAATGGGTGATGGGCACTGAGGGGGACACTTGACGGGATGAGCACTGGGTGTTATTCTGTATGTTGGTAAATTGAACACCAATAAAAATTAATTTATTAAAAAAAAGAATTCCTGAAACTGAAAGAAAAATGATACAGATGAATTTTTATCTGCTTAATGAGTGGTTGGCATAACCTCCACACAGAACTTTTCCACATGAGTTCAAAAAACCATAATTTGACTCCATAGCATACAAGTCTATCATAAGACCTTTAACTATTTTCAGTAATCACATTATTATTTTGAGACTGTTTGTGCATGTCGTTTAAAACAATTTTATAATTATGCTGATATAGTGAAAGCTGGAATTTTTAGCAGGGTCAAAGTAGATATAAATTTAAAAGCAATACATTCAAACAAAAGCTCCATAATCTTGTATTTGAATTGGTGGTATCAGTGAAAACTCAATTCATTATTTGTTAAAAAAAAATGTTTCATTTTCTACTGAAAAATGCCTGAAAATAAAGACCAATTTAAATTTGAATATTTGAATTAGGCTTTGTGAGCTTTTGACATATTTGGGAGGAAATTGCATTATTAATGTCAAAGGAGTATATACTCTAGAAAATCACTTACCCTTCTAATACTGGAAATATGCTCTGGGTATGTTCAGGGGTACTCTGCTTGGAAGGCTGGGGCTCTTTGGTTCTGCTTTCAAATTAAAGGTGCTCTAAGGACAGGATCACAGAGCTTGCGCTTGAATCAGTTGCCTCCAACTCAAAAGAGGGGTGCCTCAAGTGGAAGGGGGAAAAAAGGAAATTATCTTATTTTGAAAAGAAACTAAGTTTCAAGTGTTTTTAAGTTTTTCCAAAGGCAATGAGTCTTCTTAGTTGTTTCCAAGTCTTATTTGTATTTAGACAGCAAATCATCAGGAACGAGAAAGTTCAGTACCAAATAGGGACAACCCATAAACAGAAGCTGAACATTCCTTAGCCAATAAAGCTAAAAACTAACAATTTTTTTTAAATATTTGACATGGGAGGTAAGAACTGATAGTTTAGAACTCAACCACCAAATCATTTTTAATAAATTTATTTTTTTATTGGTGTTCAATTTACCAACATACAGAATAACACCCAGTGCTCATCCCGTCAAGTGCCCCCCTCAGTGCCCGTCACCCATTCACCCCCACCCCCCGCCCTCCTCCCCTTCCACCACCCCTAGTTCATTTCCCAGAGTTAGAAGTCTTTATGTTCTGTCTCCATTTCTGATATTTCCCACACATTTCTTCTCCCTTCCCTTATATTCCCTTTCACTATTATTTATATTCTCCAAATGAATGATACCATATAATGTTTGTCCTTCTCCAATTAACTTACTTCACTCAGCATAATACCCTCCAGTTCCATCCACGTTGAAGCAAATGGTGGGTATTTGTCATTTCTAATGGCTGAGGAATGTTCCATTGTATACATAAACCACATCTTCTTTATCCATTCATCTTTCGATGGACACTGAGGCTCCTTCCACAGTTTGGCTATTGTGGACATTGCTGCTATAAACATTGGGGTGCAGGTGTCCCGGTGTTTCATTGCATCTGTATCTTTGGGGTAAATCAAAACATTTTGAGGAAAAGTGTATTGACTGTAGATTTTACTGACAGAAACTTTTTTTAGACTGAAGTAGTCATTCATTTATTAATGTATTTAACATCAATACCAATCACTTACTGAGTCCTTGTGGTGCTTCATGTAATTTCCATTTATTCCTTACACAGTCCTCTGAGATATGTTTTGCAGTTTTGTGGAAGAAGTTTATAAAATTGAACTTGCCCCAACTTAAAAAAAATAATGCTTAGACACCACTTCTTTTCTTAGAATGATTGAAACCCATTTTGTGAGGCTCAGAGACATTGAGTAGGATTTTCTCAAGGTCCCTCCTTAAAAAAGCCAGGATCTGAGCACAGGCTTTCTGACATCAGAAGCCACATTGTAAAGTAAACCACTTAGCTAACAATGTGTGCAAACAAGAAAGTACTGAAGTATGTGATTGCCTCTGGTAGGAACTAATCTACTTTTGTCTCCAGAGACCCTTCTATTCTGGACATTTTGTACAATGAGTGAATAATACAATATGTGGTCTTTTATGTTGAGCATCTTTCATTTAGCATGATGTTTTAAAGGTTCATCTATATTATGGTATGAATCAGTACTTCATTCTTTTTTATTGCCAAGTAATGTTCCATTCCGTGGCTATGTCAGATTTTGTTTAGCCATTCAGTTAATGGACACTTGGATTTTTTTCACTTTGAGGTTTCTATGAATAATGCTATAAATATTTATGTACAAATTTGTGTATATGATTCTTTTGAGAATATACCTAGGAGTGGAATTGCTGGTTCATTCATATGGTAACTCTATGATTAACACTTTGAGGGAATAATAGACTGAATATGAGATATTTTTTTGTTATCAATCCTTAAAACATTTTCTTGACTGTGTCTTGTAATATTTACAGTACAAGCTTGCACTTCTTTTATTGCTATTTTCTTTTGTGATGCTACTGCAGATGGAATGTTTTCCTTAAAATATTGTTCTATATTTTTCTATTTTTGGAAGAGTTTGTAAAGTAGTGGTATTCTTTAAATGTTTGGTAGAATTCAGGAACGATGATACCTGTGCCTGGGTTTTTCTGAGGGGTTTTGATCACTAATCCAGTCTCTTGTTATATTGTCTATTTCTTCTTGAGTCAGTTTAGGTAGTTTTATATATTTCCAGAAATTTGTCCATTTCAACTGAATTATCTAATTTACTGACACAGTTCATAGGATTCCTTTATAATCCTATTTTCACAAGCTCTGCTTTTCTGATTCTAGTTATTTGAGTTCTCCTCTTTCTTTTGGGTGACTTTAGCTAAAGACTTGTCAATTTACTTGATCATTTACTTGGTCATTTCAAAGAGAAAGCTTTTAGCTTCATTTTTTTTTAAAATTTATTTATTCAGAGAGAGAGAGACTGAGAGGCAGAGACACAGGCAGAGGGAGAAGTGGGCTCCATGCAGGGAGCCTGACGCGGGACTCGATTCTGGGTCTCCAGGATCAGACCCCGGGCTGTAGGGGCTCTAAACCACTGTGCCACCAGGGGTGCCCGCTTTTAGCTTCATTTATTTTCTGTGTTTTTCTACCCTCTATTTCATTGATTTTTTACTCCCATATTTATTATTTCCTTCATTTTGCTTATACTAAGTTCAGTTTGTCCATAGTTTCCAGTTGAAAATAAATTGGAAAGTTAAGACATTTATTTGAAGCCTGTTTTTTCTTCATATATAGCTAATTACAGCTATAAATTTCCTTCTAAGCA